GAGGCAATTTTAGAAGACAAACTTGTCGTGATAATGCTGTTCCAACAACTTGTCTACAAGCTTGCTTTTGGAACAGCATTGACACAACTTGTTAACAAGCTTAGAAGCTTGCTACAAGCCGGTTGAGAACATATCTTGTAGACAAGTTATTGGAACAGCATTATCACGACAAGTTTGTCTTCTAAAATTGCCTCAGCCAGCAATTTATTTTGCGCCGCCATCTTGGATGTTTACTTTCGTATACTACGCATGCGCTGTTACGACAATCCGTAAGCAGATAGCTTTCGTTCGCCGCACACGAAAGATTTTGGCACGCGAGGCAGAAATTATCAAACATGTTAGATATTTGGCGTAAGTGGCACGAATGACAAAAGTCGTTCGTAAATCGCCCGCACACGAGAGCTATCTCCTTACGCCAACAGTCACGAATGACATTTTGCTAAGCACATAGCTCTAGTGTGCGCCGGCCTTAAGACATACTAACTGAATATCTAACACTTTTCTAGTTCGCTATTGTAAATGAATATAAACTAGAGTACGCCGTTTCAATTCACTATGAAGTCCGAAAGATGCAAAATTTGGGCAATGTTTATTTCTGCGGGTCCCCCTTTGTTATGAGCAGAACTGATTGCGCAGAACGGACTTGACATGGTCTTTAAGATTGTATGGGATAATAAGAAGATTAAGTGTTAACTAAATAAAAACTGAATAATAATGCGTACAATAATGCGTGTGTTCCGTTTAACATTTTATTTAGCAGAGAGTTTGAGCAAGAGACTTGATAATTTTTTGCCCGTCCGCGCACTATCTTGCGCATCCACATAATGCGCCCCACAAGCATTGCATCAAAATCAGTCCCAGCAAGCATTGCATCGAAATACAGCGTCCTTTATAGCCAGTGGCGTAACTACTATGGATTCGGACCGGTCGAACCCGGGGCCCCCCAACCCCAATGGGCCAAACGGGGGCCCCCAGGCTCAGGCTGTAGAGCAAAAACATTGGCCAGGGCCTCTGATATGTCACAATGTCGTTTTCTGACCATCAGAATTCTGTAAAATCTCTCTCCCAAAGTCCGGGAAATGGCATTTCAGAGAGTCTAGATTCAAAAATTTTCCAGGTGAGCATGCCCTGGAGCCCTAGAAAACTTGTGCATATACGGTGCTCAACTCGTACCTTTGGCACTTCTATACTAGGGGCCTTCGAAAATTTTGAACCGGGGGCCCCCTGATATAACGTTACGCCACTGTTTATAGCCACAAACATGGGCGTACCGGGCGGGGGGGGGGGGGGGCGGCGGGGGGGGGGGTG